GAGAGGGAAAATGATACAAGAAAATACAGTTACAAACAAGAAATTCTTGCGAATCATTTTCTTTACATTGACAAAATGCTACCGACTGATAAAAGCAACGTGTAAACAATAGGTAAACTGAATTAGTGAGAAGAATAGACCTGCGGACACAGAACACATCAGTTGTTATAAAGTAATTGTAACTGAAACACTGCAGTGTCATGTGCATGTTTGGATAAAACCTCGTGTTAGAATTTCCAAATGTCTCTTATAATTTTTTTTAAATTGGAGTCATTCCAGGACTTAAAGAACCAAAAGTGGCACTGTGCACTGTGACACATAAACCAAAAGGACTAGGAGTTTAAATGAACCTTTTCAAAGACAACTTAAAGTATGTACTAAGATATGATTTTTAACACAATGCCGGAAACCATTCCAAGAGGCAGCAGATGGCTTTACAGTTTATGTAAAACTACAAAATGTTCACACTCTATCAAATGGGCAGCACTATAAAAGACATGTTCGAATCAAATGAGGCAAAGCTGGCGAGATATACCAGCTGCTACTCTGCATAATTTAAAACGTAACATTACTATGGTTTTTAAGGAGAAATCATTTGAATTTCACAAAACTGACATATTCAAATCCAACCTGACAGCAGACGAGTATATTAAATGATAATTTTTTTCCTTCAATATAACTGTGAGAGCCACATAATTCTATCCTTTGGTGTTTTGGTGAATCAGACCAAAATGAGCTAAAATCTATAAAGCAAAATATAAAGTATATAGTTATAATACTATCACTGGAACAATTTTTAAATTATTTCAATTCAAATGATTAATTTTAAATAAGTTTTGAACATCTAAATATAAACCAATGTGTAGGGTATTATATATATGAACTTGGGTCATTTATAAAAATATACATAACACATTTAAAGTATGAAATCAATTCATTTCCTTCTAGCACCAATTACCTAGGATGGTTTTGAAATATAAACATTTAGCAATGTGTAATATATTTTTAATATCAGTTTTCATTAATATATTTTGACCTAAGCTAAATTGTAATGATGAAAAATGGCCCATTTGGTTAAAAGTAAAACTCTTACTAAATCTCAAATAGTATGGCACAAAATCAAACCACAAAAAGCCCTATATTATCCTGCTTGATTTCCTGAGGAAAAAGAGTGAAGGTTTCCATAGTTCAAATGAAAATGACACACTCAAATTTACTCAGGCAAGAGAAGACAAGTTCTATAAAATCAAATTCTTTTTCAGCACCTTGACTGTAATCCTAACAAGTCACTATATTATCTCAATTAGCAGAATTATTTTAGGTGGAAAACAAGCTCAATTTATTGTGTCATTGTTGCTAAAATTTGTCAAATCACACTAGTTGAAAGGCCTGAGTAATTCTAGTCTATCTTAAATTGTAACTTTATTTTAAACTTGTGTTTTATTCCAGTAGAATTTTAAGTATACACTGTGTACATTCCTCAGGTCTAGTCATATTAAATTCTGATGTTAAGCAGAAAGGGAAAACCATGAGCAAATAGATTAATTTATCTCAAGGGAAAGGGGTACATTAATAATTGAGATAATATTTTCATAAATGTTGGAATCAAATGTGCCTCTTCTCTTCTTTATTAGAAAACACATTAGAATAAAATTACCTCACACTCATCAATAAGGACTAATTGCTAAGAAAGATTCTATTTTATTTCCAAAACATTCAGATATTTTTCCTGATATGGCCAAAGAGCTAGCAATGTATCACACATCCAAGTCTCACTGGAGCAAAGTATATAAGCAAAATGGCTGTTTAAAGTACTTTATAATGTTTTTGTTTTAAAGTATCTGAACTTTCTAATTTTAGAACACATTAAAATTTGAATACCAAAATAAATTGGCCAATAAATGACTAATCTGGCTTTTAATTTGCTAATCTTATAGTATAAAAAAAATACTTGTATTATTACTAAAAAAATAAGAAAAGAAAAGTTCTTGGCATTTCCTATAAACACATAAAAGATTTAAAATATGCTGAATAGAATATATCTACCTATCTTTAAATGCACAAAGAAAATATTAACTTTAAAATGCTTACAAACCAACCAAACTACATAGCTGATATATACCAAAAAGTTCTTTTTCTACAGAAAAAAATAGAGCTTTTGATGATTAAACAAAAGTTGTATGGTGAATCTAATTGTTTCTGTAATAAGCTTTCATGTATATAATAAAGCACATTCTTTCTAAAAACAATGAATTGTAAACTAAAACAAAAATCCATCATCTTCCTGGAAACAGAGTAAAGATTAGAGATCCATTTATTGTACTGAAATAAAGATAAGTAAACCTGGTAATACCTACCAGAACCTGAGTATTGAACTCTAAATATAAAGCTATTTCTTCATCAGCAAATGACTCGAAAAAGTGAAGAAAAAAAACAATTACAGCTGACTTTTAAAATGAAATACTCATGATTTAACTACTTTGTTTTTTTTTTTAAATCTGCTTCATGTCAACCTGATATTCTGGAAGATATCTAAAAGAATGTATTTTTAAATAGATGTTTATGACATGTGTCATTAAATAATTATCGCCAAACATTTCTTATATAAGTCTCTAGTATATTCCAGTTACTGATTTTTCTCATATGAATCATCTAATGATTAAAGTATCTCACCATATAATTTAGATTTGAAAGGAAAGACTAACATTCAAGGAATAACCCAACATTTAAAATCTCTTAAAATGTAACTTAATTGAAACAGTCATTCTTCATAAATTTTGGTGCTTAATTTTTTAAAAACTTATACTTCATATCTTAGAAGTAATTATATTAATAAAAATCTGAAATATATTTTAAAAGTGTGTTATCTTATAAATAATCACTGAGACTGAATTACCTGGTCCTAGTTAGTTACATTGCTCATACTCTCCCAGGAGACATTTTGCATGGCTGAAGTTTTTAAATCCCCTCAATTCCCCAAAAGTATGTTATTCTGTTTTTACAGCTGATAAAATGAATAGATTAATTATGTCCTGGATTTAGGAGTAGGAACCTATAGATCATCCAATCACACACCCAGAAGTCTTTTTTACAACACAAAAGCCCATTTAATTAACATACCCTAAACACAATAGGTGAAACTGGCTTTACTGTTTCTAGGAAAAACTGAAGTAAATTCCCCAGTTTCTTTACTACAACAGAATTTTAACTTCATCGAATGTAAGTGAAGGCCTAAAAGAAAGGTTCCACAGTTTTCAGTGATAACATATGCTATAATGTTCTATATGTGTAGTGGCCTCCTGCCAACATCCCAATTAATCAAAGCTTCCTAGGAAAAACAAAAACAAAGATCTATGGGATGTTTTTCACATTTATGGCTTTGTCCTCTGCACTCTAAAAATAGGCAGGCACCAAAGGGCAATGTAACAGTGTTCAGTTTAACATTCTCACACAGAGTAAATTTGTGCCAATGAATAACTGCTTCATGATTTCCCCGAAAAAGCACTGACAGACCTGTAGCTGTATCGTATTAGAGTGCTTAGCAACACCACTAAAATACGAAAAGCATCTGGAAGTATTTTTAACTTTAAACTACACTGGAGGTTATAACTAATTAGTCAGAAACAAAAATCAAATAACTTATCTTTCAAAAGCAGATGCTTTGATTATATCCCACCTGTCAGTCTTCTTATGCAAAAGCTATAGCTTGGAGCCTGCCTCTGTGTACCTCGCTGCTTTCTCCTTGCTCTAGTCTAGAAAGCAAGTTTCTGTTTTTTAAGAAAAAGCTCAAAATATACCCACTTTTACCTTCAACTGAAAATGTGTAGTTTCCTAGCAATAGTGTAGGCGTGAACTGCAACCCGGAAGCCAGGGCCCCAGACGGGGAGAAGTGTGGAGAAGGCAACCCATGGGCTACCACATCCTCCCCTTGGCCTGCCGGGCTGTGGGCTCACGAGGTCACGCCACCATCCAAGGGCCTCCTGCAAACTCAGGCCTCAGCACCCCGCACCAGTAGTCCTACGAGTGTTCTGGACCCTGATACAGTGTTTGACAGAGTGGGGCTCAGCAAAAATTCAAGTAGTTTTCATTAGCGAATTTGAGACAGCTCACCATGGTGACCACATGAGCAAAGCGTGAAGGCAATGTGAAAACATCCATTATTGGACTCTACAAGGCCAGCTCAGTCCCTGGTGACTGATCGGCATTCTTTTCTGACAATCAGTACTTCACATGACCACATTAGTCAGATTTCCATATTACTTCAGGGAACGGCTTCTAGCATCCTGTATTTCATAACTAACTCTCCATGGGTTGGAGTGGCTAAAATCAGTGGGGGGAAGGATGACTACCTATCTTTTCAGGAATGGACCTCAATAATCAAACACGAGTTCTGGGAGAACTCTCAGGTTGACATTTTCCACACAGGTTACTTCTAAATAACAGCATCAGGTAATGGATTCACACAGAAGTGCCCCTAATTTTTCCATGTTTTTATGTTCTATTTTGGTGCGTAATTTCATAATTTCACTTTGTGGAGAAAGAAGCAAATTTGTGATTTTTGATTCATAATATAATTTACAAAGAATGTGGGCACTCTAAAAGTGGTGGTAAGCGTACAGTTTTCACCCAAGATAATCAGCCTGACTCTCTTCCTCTCCCTGCTCACTGGATCCACCAGGCACAGAAATGTGTGGGAAGAGCTTATAACAGGACATAAAGGTCACCCAGCTCTGGCTCTAATGCCTGAGGTCCTCTCCTCCATCACCTTGACGTCAACGTTTTTCATGGAGGCCAATGGTCATCCATTCCTGCCCAGAGCATTAAGGTGGCTGCTTCCGGAAAGGGTAGGCCCTGTCCTCTGCCGGGTGCACCTACTCCAGAGCCCCCTCTCCCAGCCTCCCTGGAGGTGCCTGAAGGCCAGACCTGCTCTCCACCCTGGGTCCCACAGGGGCTCTCCCTCGGGCCTGCCAGCCCGAGGGGCTCAGCGGCACCTCGCTTACCTCCCAGAGGTGCTGCGTGTTCCTCACGGCGCCCGTCTGCACCTTCTCCGGGGGCAGCAGCACGCCCTGGAAGGGCCCGATCCAGGTGCCCTGCTGGATCCGCTGCGCAGCGCAGATGCCGTAGGCCAGGCCCGGCACGGTGCTGGTGCACAG